CGTCGGGGGGTTTTGGTTTCTCCCACCGACAGGCGGGCCAGAGGAAGACAAGCGCGCGCGTCCCGCCCGTCCGCGCGCTGTCCGTTTCACCCCAAAACCGACGCAAGTTTGGGCCGGGGATGGGTCGAAAGCGGACACAAAGCGGACAAAAGTCCGTTTGCTCCCGCGCGCTGGGCCGCCTTTTTTGTCCCTTTTACCCCAAACGAACGGACCGAACAGAATAGGGTCGCGCGGTGGAGTTGGCCTAAGAGGATCCATGTCCCTAGTATATGGCATGGCACCTAACAAAACCCAAGTTTATCCTAAAAAAACACCCGAGTTGGATTGGGCAGCCAGGATGAACCCACCAGTGTAGTGGCGTGACATCCGGGGCCCACATGTCATAAGCAAACAGAAACAAAGAGAGGCACTGCTGGGCTTTGCTGCGATCGTACCAGAACTTTTGCCCTAGTCATATCTTGTGTGTTTACCCAATCGGAGACCGAGCGAGCGGGTTCGGAAAAGAAGTGAGGCTCGCCTCAACTCAGCTCAGCTAGAGTGGCATTCCAACCGAAAGAAAAGAACCACCGTCGCGTGGGCCCACCTCACATTCCGTCTTTAAATCCACCTCATTCCCCCGTGCTCCCTCCTCAGCTAGCCCGCCCGCCCGCCTCTAGCCAACTCAAACACACACACGCTCACTCCGACGCCGCGAGCCACCCGGCGAGCACGTACGCACGCGGCCAGCCAGCGCGAGCACAATGCCGTCGGACGCGGCGGCCAAGGGGGTGAAGCTGGAGCGGTACGCCAGCGGCGGCGCGCTGCTGCTGCGCCGGGTGGCCAGCGGCAAGTTCGTCTCCGCCTCCTCCCACCTGCTCTTCCGCGCCACCGTGCTCGCCACGCTCGCCCTCGTCTTCCTCTTCGCGCTCCACTACCCCTCCCTCCTCTCCCGCTCCTTCAGCCTCGCCTCCGACGGCTCCTCCTCCTCCGTGCCCGGCGCGTCGCGGTCGCACGCCTCGCACCGGAGCCTGCTCGCGTCCTCGTCCGCGGCGGCCACGTACGGCGGCGAGCGGTGGCAGAAGGAGATACGCCGCAGCGCCAAGCCGCGCCGGGACGAGGGGCTCTCGGTGCTCGTCACGGGCGCCGGCGGGTTCGTCGGCGCGCACTGCTCGCTGGCGCTCAAGGCGCGCGGCGACGGCGTGGTCGGCCTCGACAACTTCAACTCCTACTACGACCCGGCGCTCAAGCGCGGGCGCCAGCAGCTCCTCGCCGACCGCGGCGTCGTCGTGCTCGACGCCGACATCAACGACGCGCTCCTGCTGGAGCGGCTCTTCGAGGCGGTGCCCTTCACGCACGTGCTCCACCTGGCGGCGCAGGCCGGGGTGCGGTACGCCATGGAGGCGCCGCAGACGTACGTGGCGTCCAACGTGGCCGGCCTGGTGAGCGTGTTCGAGGCGGCCGCCAAGCACGCCGACCCGCAGCCGGCCGTCGTCTGGGCCTCCTCCTCCTCCGTCTACGGGCTCAACACCGACGCGCCCTTCTCCGAGGACCACCGCACCGACCGACCGGCGTCGCTCTACGCGGCCACCAAGAAGGCCGGCGAGGCCATCGCGCACGCGTACAACCACATCTACGGCCTCTCCATCACCGGCCTCCGCTTCTTCACCGTGTACGGGCCCTGGGGCCGCCCCGACATGGCCTACTTCTCCTTCGCCCGCAGCATCGTCGCCGGCGAGCCCATCACGCTCTACGCCGACGCGCGCCGCGACTTCACCTACATCGACGACGTGGTCAAGGGCTGCGTCGGCGCGCTGGACACCGCCGGCAGGAGCACCGGGTCCGCCAGGTCGGGCAAGAAGAGCGGCCCCGCGCCGCTGCGCGTGTACAACCTGGGCAACACCTCCCCGGTGCCGGTGACCCGGATGGTGGCCATCCTGGAGAAGCTGCTGGGGAAGAAGGCGAACAAGCGCATCATCGCCATGCCCAGCAACGGCGACGTGCCCTTCACCCATGCCAACGTGAGCCACGCGGCGCACGACTTCGGGTACCGCCCCACCACCTCCCTCGACGCCGGCCTGCGCCACTTCGTGGACTGGTTCGTGCAGTACTACAAGCTCGACATCAAGATCGCCAAGCCGTCCACCACCAGCAAGAAGCCGGCGACAGCGACGAAGAAGAAGGCCTCGACCATGTCGGCGGCGTCGTCGTGAGCTGGGCAGAGCACCCCAGGGCCCAGCAGAGCACCGGCACCGACACGACACCAAGTGTTTATTCCTTCCCTAGCTAATTCTTGGAGGCATCAACTTGTCTTTCTTGTCTGTAATAACCGTGTAAGTGTTGATCTTGAGGTGTTTTAGGTAGCAAATAATGGTGGGAATTGAACAGCAAGGGATAGGACCGCAAAAACTGCAGATAACTATTAGTAGACGGGGGGTATAGTGAGAGCAAACAGGGGAGCCTGGCCAGGACTGAAGAAAGATGAAGTCACTGGCTTCTTTTCCACTTCCGTGGCATAATATTGTCACCTGTTTTGTTCTTGCCCGCGTGCTCTGCTCACTCACGTGAACCATATCAAGACGCATGCCGTGCTGGAGGCACACACCCAACCAACCAAGTCCCGAATCCAAATCCACATCAGACAGCTTTGCTCCAAGGATCGCAGTTCCACTTGCATGAACCGTGATCGCAGAGCTCCAAAGCCAAGCTGTACTATGCACCTCCTGGTACATTTTGGCATCAATAGTTTCTGATCGTCCATGGACCTTTACCACTGCCTGATAAGAGGCGCTGGTTCATCGTCTGGTTGTGATTGAACACGAGTTGAGTTGCAGTTGGCGGGGAGGCATTGATGGCGGTGGCTGTCGGTCGTTCGGCATGGTCCAGCCCGGCCGCCCAGCGTACGCGCTGCTCCTTTTAGCATCTTTTTAATGGCCACCGGCGCGCCATAGCATGAGGTGAGAATGAGATGAGATGAGGATGCCGCCCCGTTGGCTGTACGACTGCACGAGCGAGTTCGGCCACTGTTTGCGAGATTTTGTGCTTGCTCCATCGGCCTCGGAGAGCCGGTGATCGGCTTCACTGCCAGCCAATGCAGCAGCATTTTTTAACGCCGGTATGGAAGTGTCGATAGAGGATGTCGGCACGGCGCCACGAGCCTACACTCCTACAGTTGCACGGGATTCAGCAGAGACATTACTGCTTGGTGCCAAAAACCGCAGCGCCTTCTTCCGTTCCATCCGACTGACTGAAATGACAATATGTTTTCTTCTTTCCTTCTTACTTCTACTCCCTCTGTAAACTAATATAAAATCATTTAGATTACTACTTTAGTGATCTAAAAGCTTTTATATTAATTTATGGAGGGAGTACATTATTGTGGCGAGTAACAGAAGCAGATCATCTATTATTGGATAGATAGATGGATGATGGGGACGGTGCGGAGTGTCTGTAGCTGTGCCTGTGCGTGTCTTCGCGGCACCAGTTTTGGAATTGATCAACTAATCCAATTATGCAAATAGTGTGGAAGTGTGGAGAGAAGAAAATTTGCTCCTGAAATGTCGGTAGGGCGAGACGAGGAGGAGAAGAAGCTGACATGAATGAACATTGGATGCCTTGTAGCAGCCCCCGATTTACCCCCCAGGGCCGACGATCCTTGCCCACTCCTGCTCACTCGCTCCTGCCTTCACATTCACACCCTTCCTTCTTTGCATGCATGCATGGCATATTGCCATGGGCCATCGATCAAATGTGCAGCAGATTCCAGTGATGCAAGTGCCACTAGGCTCGTACGGTTGTACCCACAAGAGGAATCGCGCGCATCATTGCGCTCCGCGAAATTCGCATCTGTGATGCTGCAGGCGGCAAAAACCTGGGCTGGCTCGCCAGCCTACATTTTTGTGTTCTTCTCTCGGTTGCAGGCTTGCAGCTCGCGGCAAGGAAGCCATCGATTGCGGTTTGGGCTTCTGCGCACTCATCCAGGGTTCAGATATGGCGTTTCTTCGTTAGATTGGACAATCTCTTCTCACTAGCATTTTCTAGCATAGTAGTATATCAGCTTAACCAAGACTGCAGACCCATTCATTTCGAAGGGATGAGAGAACATGGTGTGATGGTGTCGGCGTCTGGATGGTTATAGCGTTTCGTGACGGACATGATGCTGCCTACATTGAACACGGCCGGCACGTAGGGCTGGAGGGAATCCGTCCCATAAAGTATGCAGAAAGCAACGAATACCCGATCATATGCCCTTGCAGAATCGTTAGAGATTGCATCTGTCTACGACGTATACATGAAAGCCTCGACTGTCGATGAGCAAACGACTTACGTGCAGCACAGGCTACGCTACAGTGGAAGGTTTGCCTATTAGCACTTGGGATCCGATGCTTGATTGATCATCTTGGCTTGGGAGCACTGCTAGCTACTAGTGTCAAAAATATTCTTATATTATGAGACAGAGGAAGTAGTAACTAACTGAGGGTTATCCTCCCTTTTTAAATCAAAAAGAAAAACTAACCGTGCAATGTACCATGGTTCAGTAGATAATTTGGGCATCTTTCACTTGAGCAGTCAATCCACTACTGCCTTCCCTGAAGGAAGCTAGTGTTACAACTTACAACTGAATGGGATCAGGCCAGAAATTGACCAGACGCTGACCCTGTCTGTGTATGAGTGCTTGGATCTTCACCACTTGCAAGAAGTTGGTTCCTGAAAGAGGTTGACACTGACCTACCCATAATTCCCCTTTCGCTATTGGGACAGTTGCATGTAATCCATGGCAATCCAACTGCATGGATTGTTTTGGTACTATCTTCTCGCGCATCGATCACATGCATGCTCCCATCGTTCCGGCTAGCTTCCATTACGCGTTGCTAGCTAGCTAATTACCCGTTCTAGCCTTGCGTGAGCCCGTGAGAGACCGGCGTGCCTGCACTGCACACATAGGTTCTGACTTCAGTTAGCAGCTAAGACTGGGAAGGGAGATCGATGTGGATAAGTGCCAGACCCACTATTAGTTAACCAGGGAAAGCTGGTTGACCGCTTCCATCGGATTTGCTCCCTGCCCTACCCTCCACAAGGACTATGCTATGACGTGCATGATTATATATGTTCTTCTTTTGGTTAGTGCAAGTGCAACCAAGATTGATCACAGTTAGTGACAGGGCGCATTCCTGCTTTGTGAGGCAAAAAGGAGCAGGCCGTTGCCCGGTGAGGACAGCAATGCCATACGAGGAAGACCCACTACCTGGACCTGCACTTGATCGTCAACTCACATATTCATATTCAGTGACCATGTTTAATGTGGTGCGTTACTGCTTGGTCGCTTGAGAATTGTGTTGACCAAATTCGTATCATGAAGTCTATAGTTTTGGGGGGAAAAGCAAATCCAATACAATTTTCTCTAAATGACTTTTGTCTGGTTACTCATTCGCTATATTTTCTCTAGCCAGCCTTCAACAAATACTTCCTCCGTCCCAAAATAAATGAGAGTAATCGATACTCCCTCCCTCTTACAATATAAGAACGTTTTGCAATCTATATTAGTTTGCAAAACGTTCTTATATTGTGGGACTTAGGGAGTACTAAGCTTGATACACTTATTGTGGGACGAAAGGAGTAACTAGTACAACACCACACACTTTACTACAGTAGCCACCGATGGTTGTTGCAGATCTCATTGATGGAAGCTTCCCCTTCTGTTTGAGCTACTCTATTCAGAGTGTAGGTCGGTTCACGATGGGGTGTGAATGGCAGCGGCCAGATCTGCACCGTACCGCGTGGTGGGCGGGCTCCCGATGGTCGAGGCGGCGACTTAAGGTGGGTAGACACCCCACCCATTTGCTAGCACCATTTCAGCATAGCATGAAGTATTAGCTGGCGTGAATTTTGGAAGATCCGTTGTCAAGATGGTGATTAAAGCACCGTTTCATTTCTGGAGTGAAAACTCTTGTTATGGTCTTCATTGATCGGGCTCAACACCAACAAACTTCATCGTTACCTTGTTGAAGGGATGAAAACAGAGTGAAGCGGACAAAACTGAGTGCTACCATATTTGTTTTTATATTTTTTTGCAGAAGCGGAAACGAATACAAAAACCCCGAAAAAGAATACGAAAATAGAAACTATCGGAAACGTACACGAAGCAAATACAAAGTGGATACGGAAACATAAGTGGGTGTTAATCGGAACTTAAAAACCTGTTGAATCATAGAGAAATACACAGAAAACACAAACAAATTTAATGAATTGTTAACATGGCTACAAAATAGTATCATTATGCTAGCAACTTCGCGTAGTATTGTAGTAGTATTGGACAATTGCGTATAGGGTCAAGCTGAGTACATGTGTGGTAGTAGAAGTTGGGCCTTAAATGATCCATTCTCATTGTGTCGTTGTGCGTTGTTTGGAAAGTTCCATTTCCATGCTTGTTCCATCGGAAAACACCGTTCCATTTTGTTTCCATTTCCGCATGAAAAATTCCATTTTCATTTCCGCTTTGCAAATTTCCATTTCCGTTTTCACATCTCATGTCCGTTTCCATTTTTCCTCTGAAAAAACGAAAAAATTTCACTCCATTTTCATCCCTATTGAAGGCGATGTCCCCTTGCTGACGTTCAAGCCTTCATTGGTCGGTGTCTACAACCAGGATGAAAATCCTTTCCTTGCTTTGTCGACTGGACTCGAGAACGACGGTGTGAGGGCGTATATCTCTTCTTGAAGGCGTTGTCGCAAAATAAGTTGCTAAGTCATAGGTGTCGGTGTCAAAATCGGCAGATCTCGGGTAGGGGGTCCTGAACTGTGCGTCTAAGGATCGAGGGTAACAGGAGGCAAGGGACATGATGTTTATCCAGGTTCGGGCCCTCTTGATGGAGGTAATACCCTACTTCCTGCTTGATTGACTTTGATGAGTATAGGGGTTACAAGAGTTGATCTACCTCGAGATCGTAATGGCTAAACCCTAGATGTCTAGCCTGTATGATTATGATCGCCTCTACGGACTAAACCCTCTGGTTTATATAGACACCGGAGGGGGTTAGGGTTGTACAGAGTCGGTTTACAGAGAAAGGAATCTTCATATCGGAATGCCAAGCTTGCCTTCCACGTCAAGGAGAGTCCTATCCGGACACGGGGGGAAGCCTTCTATCTTGTATCTTCACGGCCCACTAGTCCGGCTCACATTACACAGCCCGGACGCCCGAGGACCCCCTAATCC